ACACTCATGAACTATACTTTAAACAACAGGAGTATCTTCATTATGTGCACCTGTATGAGCGTGTGTGTGTGTCTGTTCCATTGTATTCGCCTCACCTCTCCTCACCCCCAACCCCACCCCGACAAATAGAGAGGCCCATTTCCTGTCGTGGTTTCCTTTACTATGAAGTGACTTGCGTTGTTCTTCAGAGGAAAGAGGTTCATATGACTTTACTTCATGGCGACACCTGTCAGTCAGTTTCTAGCTGTCACTGTCCACAATTCTGGGCCAGGACCAGACTGAAGGACCAGATGGTCCATTTAACTCCTCACACCTTTTCCCTTCTGGGCCTGAACCTGTTTTTGGTTCTGCTTCGTTGAAACTCTTCTTTCTCCTCAGGCTGCTCTCTGATTGGGTCACAGCAGTCACTGGGGTTTCCTGAGCTTCAGTGTAGGAGGGTGATTTAAATGAGACTGTAATTTCCCCCCCCGGTCCATGAACAGACGCAGCTGTGGCTCACATGATGGAGTGAGACTGAGAGTGGATCTACGTCAGTGTCAGTGGGAGGAAAAGTTGTGATGCTGGGCGGCTGGTGTTGTTCTGGTCACACCTGAGCTGAGCAGCAGTGGTTCAAGCTGCGTAAGATGTCGATAATTCAGGAAGAAGAAGTCTTGTTTACAACAAACCTCTTCATCTTACTATCAGACATACTTCCACTATGGGAAACAAAGGGGTAAAACACTCACTACGTTAAATCAGTGGAATTCTCTATGGACCTCTGAATGGGAAATGTGCTGCCGCTGTGGTCCACTCTGACTGTCTCCTACAGTCCAGTCCAGTATTTTTGTAGGTGATTCATGGAGAGTGAGTAGCACAGGCAGAGTTTGACTTTTGCGTCGGGGTGCGGGGGGACATTTTAACGCAATTGCGCATCTATATCAAAGAACAGGGCCTTCCACCGCCACTAGGAAATCCCTGCATACACATATACATAAACATATATGTATTTATATACGTAAACATATATGTATTTATATACATCTACATATACAAATACATATGCATATACATATACATAAACATGAACATATACATATACATGAACAT